CACAAGAACCTTATTATTATTATTATTATTTCCTGCTTTTATTTCTAGACTGAGATGCAAGGCAGGCCACAATATAATTAAAATCAGAGCCAGTGCCTTAACATTTGAATATTGAAAATTAAACATTTTTTTGTGTCGTGGGATGTAAACATATTAAAAATATCTTTAAAGAACTAGAATTAAAAGCAGTCTATTGGCGGAAGCTCTTCTCTAGCGAAGCCTCTTCTATTGACAAGGTTCCTTTAAAAAAATTTAATATGAGGCCTTGCTTGGAAAGGAAGCAAAGGACTCTTCTCCATCATATTATTCACCTATCTTGACTTCAATATCAGAGGGAAAATCCCTGAGGAGAGGCAGGAATACAATAAAAGGTGTTATTAGCATTCCAAAAAGTCTTTGCTTTCTTCCTATCTGTTGGGGAGGCTCCCAAGCAAAGCCTCTTTTAATGACAGTCCCAAATAGACACAGGTAGCCAATAAATAATAACATTATTATTATTAAGAGCAAAGACTTTTTGCAATAATAATAATCATTACTGTTATTCCAAAAAGTCTTTGCTTTCTCACTATCTCTTTAGGAGGCTCTCAAGTGAAGCATATATCAAATTTATTATTATTATTATTAGGAGAAAATACTTTTTGGATTATTATTATTATTATTATTATTATTATTATTATTAAGAGCAAAGACTTTTTGCAATAATAATAATCATTACTGTTATTCCAAAAAGTCTTTGCTTTCTCACTATCTCTTTAGGAGGCTCTCAAGCGAAGCATATATCAAATTTATTATTATTATTATTATTATTATTATTATTAGGAGAAAATACTTTTTGGATTATTATTATTATTATTATTATTATTATTAAGAGCAAAGACTTTTTGCAATAATAATAATCATTATTGTTATTCCAAAAAGTCTTTGCTTTCTCGCTACCTCTTTAGGAGGCTCTCAAGCGAAGCATATATCAAATTTATTATTAGTATCATTATTATTAGGAGAAAATACTTTTTGGATTATTATTATTATTATTATTATTATTATTAAGAGCAAAGACTTTTTGCAATAATAATAATCATTATTGTTATTCCAAAAAGTCTTTGCTTTCTCACTATCTCTTTAGGAGGCTCTCAAGTGAAGCATATATCAAATTTATTATTATTATTATTATTATTATTATTATTATTAGGAGAAAATACTTTTTGATTATTATTATTATTATTATTAAGAGCAAAGACTTTTTGCAATAATAATAATCATTATTGTTATTCCAAAAAGTCTTTGCTTTCTCGCTACCTCTTTAGGAGGCTCTCAAGTGAAGCATATATCAAATTTATTATTATTATTATTATTAGGAGAAAATACTTTTTAGATTATTATTATTATTATTATTATTATTAAGAGCAAAGACTTTTTGCAATAATAATAATCATTATTGTTATTCCAAAAAGTCTTTGCTTTCTCGCTATCTCTTTAGGAGGCTCTCAAGCGAAGCATATATCAAATTTATTATTATTATTATTATTATTATTATTATTATTATTATTATTAGGAGAAAATACTTTTTGGATTATTATTATTATTATTATGAAGAACAAAGACTTTTTGGAATAATAATAATCATTATTGTTATTCCAAAAAGTCTTTGCTTTCTCGCTATCTCTTTAGGAGGCTCTCAAGCGAAGCATATATCAAATTTATTATTAGTATTATTATTAGGAGAAAATACTTTTTGGATTATTATTATTATTATTATTATTATTATTATTATTATTATTAAGAGCAAAGACTTTTTGGAATAATAGTAATCATTACTGTTATTCCAAAAAGTCTTTGCTTTCTCGCTACCTCTTTAGGAGGCTCTCAAGTGAAGTATATATCAATTTTATTATTGTTATTATTATTATTATTAGGAGCAAATACTTTTGGATTATTGTTATTTTATTATTATTATTCCAAAAAGTATTTGCTTTCTCCCTATCTCTTAGGGAGGCTCTCAATCAAAGCCTCTTTTATTGACAGGCCCAAATAGAGGCATATAATAATAATAATAATAACAATAACAATAATAATCTCAAGCCTCGTGGAATAATATTATTATTAGGTTCTTGTGGGTTTTTTCAGGCTATAGAGCCATGTTCTAGAGGCATTTCTCCTGACGTTTCGCCTGCATCTATGGCAAGCATCCTCAGAGGTTGTGAGGTCTGTTGGCAAGCATCCTCTGAGGATGCTTGCCATAGATGCAGGCGAAACGTCAGGAGAAATGCCTCTAGAACATGGCTCTATAGCCCGAAAAAACCCACAAGAACCTAGTGATTCCAGCCATGAAAGCCTTCGACAATACAATATTATTATTATTCCACGAGGCTTGAGAGCCTCTTGGGGAGGCTCTTCTATTGAAAAGGCCCAAATATATTCACCTATCCTGGGTTAAATATTGGAGGAAAGGTGACAAATAGAAATTATTATTATTATTATTATTCCAAAAAGCCTTTCCTTTCTACCTATTTATGGCACCTCTGTTGCATCTCAGTGAGATATAAGTATTATAATAATAATAGTCTAGAACCATGCCTCCCCTATTTACATATTATTATTCCAAAAAGCTTTTCCTTTCTCCCCATTTCTTGCATCTCATTGGGATATAATAATAATAATAATAATAATAATAATAATAATAATAATAATAATAATAATAATCAAGCCTTCTCTATTGACATGCTCCGATTTCACTGGGATTTTCCCTATTTTTAAGTCTTCTAAATGCAATAGATGAAGATATAGAAACTGGGAGGCAAATTCTAACAAAAGTCTTCATTAAGAGGCAACCTTTCCTGACTCATAATTACCTGATCTGACACAATGCCACAAGAATGTGACTGTATGTTATTGTTGCTTTAAATTGTTATTTTATGATGTTTTATACTTATTATAGATGTATTTGGATTGTTGTTTACATTATTTTAATATGTTGTAAGCCACTTTGGGTCCCAGAAAAGCAGGATACAAATAAAGATATTATTATTGTTGTTGTTGATGTTATTATTATTATTATTATTATTATTATTATTATTATTATTATTATTATTATTACCTTCTTAAAGGGCCAGCACCCACATTTCCTGACCTCCTCAAATCATTCCAATGGGGAAGGGGGTCTTTATCTTGGAATATGATTATGCGATTATTGGTCAAGCCTCCTCTATTGATATGGTGTGTGTATGTATATATGTGTGTGTATGTGTTGTGTGTATATATATATGTGTGTGTGTGTGTGTGTGTATATATATATATATATATACATATATACACACAAAAATTTGGGGGGGGGGGGCAATTCTAGCAAAAGTCTTCATTAAGAGGCAACCTTTCCTGATTCAATCATTACCTTCTTAAAGGGCTAGTCCCACCATTTCCTGACCTTTCCTGACTCAGAATTACCTTCTTAAAGGGCCAGAACCCTCTTTTTCCTCCTCAAGCCATTCCAATGGGGAAGGGTCTTTCTCTTTTTGGAGGGAGGTTGTCCTTTTTAAACCTATTTCTTTTTTAAAATGGGATCAATGAAGATCTGGTGAGAAGAATCCTGTAACCAAGTCTTTCCTTGTGAGGACATCCTATTCCTTGGCCATCTTAAAGGGCCAGTGTCACCTAATTCCTGACTCAGAATTAGCTTCTTAAAGGACCAGTTCCCCCAATTTCCTGAGCTTTCCTGACTCAGAATTACCTTCTTAAAGGGCCAGCACTCCAATCTCCTAACTCGGAATTACCTTCTTAAAGGGCTAGTGTATCCCATTTCCTGACCTTTCCTGACTCAGAATTACCTTCTTAAAGGGCTAGCACCACAATTTCCTAACTCGGAATTACCTTCTTAAAGGGCCAGTCTTTTAAAATCTCTCTTTATTCCCTTTTAAAAAAGGAATCAATGAAGACTTGGTGAGAAGAACCCTGTAAACAAGCCTCAGCTTGTGAGGATACCCCAATTTCCTGGACCCTTGGCCTTCTTAAAGGGCCAGCAACCTTTTTTTTTTTTTACTCCTCTAGTCATTCCAATGGGAAAGGGGTCTTTTTTTCTTTGGGGGGGGGGGATTTGTCTTTTTACAAATCTCTCTGTATTCCTTTCTGAAAGGGATGACTTGGTGAAAAGGACCCTGTAACCAAGACTCAATTCCCTGTCTCCTTGGCCTTCTTAAAGGGCCAGTGCCCCCCATTTCCTGGCCTTTCCTGACTCAGAATTACCTTCTTAAAGGGCCAGCGTTCTCTTTTTTACTCCTCAAGTCATTTCAATGAGGAATTTACTAAATGTACTTTCTGAAAGGCCCAGCAGCCCAGTGCCTGACTTCTTTAAAGGGCCAGTATCCTCTTTTTTTACTCCAATGGGGAAGGGGTCTTTCTCTTTTTTTTGGAGGGAGGGTGGTCTGTCCTTTTTAAAATATCTCTAATTCCTTTCTCAAAGGGAAGACTTGAAGAGACGGACCCTGTAAGCAAGCCTTCCCTTTCCTTGGCCTTCTTAAAGGGCCAGTATTCTTTTTTTTTTACTCCAATGGGGAAGGGGCCTTTATCTCTTTGGGGAGGGGTTGTCCTTTTACAAATCTCTCTGTATTCCTTTCTCAAAGGGAAGACTTGGTGAGAAAGACCCTGTAACCAAACCTCAGCTTGTGACCCTTGGCCTTCTTAAAGGGCCAGTATCCTCTTTTTTTACTCCAATGGAGAAAGGGTCTTCTTAAAGGGCCAGTATCCTCTTTTTTTACTCCAATGGGGGTCTATTTTTTTGGAGGGGAGTCTATCCTTTTTAAAATATCTCTCAATTTCTTTGACTTGAGGAGCAAGACCCTGTAAGCAACCCCCAGCTTGTGAGGGGACCCCCCCCCCAATTCCCTGCCTGCTTGGCCTTCTTAAAGGGCCAGCGTCCCATTTCCCTGCCTTTTGGGGTGCCCCCCGTTTCCCACAACCACAACACCCCTTCCTTCCCCCGTTCCCCTTTTCCCGCAGGCGAAGGATACAGCTTGACCACGTCGGTGTCCATCCGCCTCTTGCCAGGGCTGGGGGAGGACATGGCGCCCCCCCGGCCGGCGGCCTCTCTTGTCCTGTCAGGACCCCTTTAACGCTGGAGCCCCGCTTCCTGCGCCTGCGCGGTGGGCTCTCTCTCTCTCTCTCTCTCTCCTTGGCTCCGCCTCCTTTGCTCCTTCCTCCGAGGCCCCGCCCTTCCCGAGCCGGCTCTTCCTGGCACCCCCTCCCCTCTCTTAATTTCCTTGGTTCTCCTCTTGTTGTGTTTCTGTTTCCTGCGCCCTTCCGCACCGCTTTCCTCCTCCTTCTCCTGCTCGCTGCTCGCTGCTTCTGCTTCGCCCGCCGCCGAGGCTCTTCTGCTGCCTCTCTCTCTCTCCTCTGACGTCACCCACAGTGACCTCACCGCCCAGGCCGGGCTTCTTATTGGACGGCGGCGGCGACGTCACTGCGGCCAAGCCCGCCCCCTCTCTGTCCCCGCGCCCCGAGGCACGACGGGAGTTGGAGTCCTTTCCCTCAAAGCACCTCCCTGTGTTTTGGACTCCGACTCCCAGCATCCCTCAACAGGAACTGAGGCGGAAAAGGGAGCCTGCTTCCCTCTCCCTCTGAGGGTGTCTACACTGGGCAGAATTAACCCACTTTGGGCACCCCTGCTCATGGGACCCCTTGGGAGTTGTAGTTTGCTGAGGTGTTCGTGGAAAGATGGGAGTTGTAGTTTGCTGAAGCACTCATGGAAGGATGGGAGTTGTAGTTTGATGATGAATTCATGGAAGGATGGGAGTTATAGTTTGATGATGAATTCATGGAAGGATGGGAGTTATAGTTTGATTATGAATTCATGGAAGGATGGGAGTTATAGTTTGCTGAGGTAGTCGTGGAAGGATGGGAGTTGTAGTTTGCTGAAGCACTCATGGAAGGATGGGAGTTGTAGTTTGATGATGAATTCATGGAAAGATGGGAGTTGTAGTTTGATGATGAATTCATGGAAGGATGGGAGTTATAGTTTGCTGAGGTATTCGTGGAAGGATGGGAGTTGTAGTTTGCTGAGTTGTTTGTGGAATTATGGGAGTTGTTCGCTGAAGTGTTCGTGGAAGGATGGGAGTTGTAGTTTGCTGAGGTATTCGTGGAAGGATGGGAGTTGTCGTTTGCTGAAGTGTTGAATGAATGATGGGAGTTGTAGTTTGCTGAAGTATTCGTGGAAGGATGGGAGTTGTAGTTTGCTGAAGTGTTCATGGAATTATAGGAGTACTCATGGAAGGATGGGAGTTATAGTTTGCTAATGTGTTCATGGAATTATGGGAGTACTCATGGAAGAATGGGAGTTGTAGTTTGCTAATGTGTTCGTGGAATTATGGGAGTACTCATGGAAGAATGGGAGTTGTAGTTTGCTAAAGTGTTTGTGGAATTATGGGAGTATTCATAGAAGGATGGGAGTTGTAGTTTGCTGAAGTGTTCATGGAATTATGGGAGTACTCATAGAAGGATGGGAGTTGTAGTTTGCTGAGGTGTTCGTGGAAGGATGGGAGTTGTAGTTTGCTGAAGAATTCATGGAAGGATGGGAGTTGTAGTTTGCTGACGTGTTCGTGGAATTATGGGAGTATTCATGGAAGGATGGGAGTTATAGTTTGTTGAGTCGTTTGTGGAATTATGGGAGTTGTAGTTTGCTGAAGCACTCGTGGAAGGATGGGAGTTGTAGTTTGATGATGAATTCATGGAAGTATGGGACTTGTAGTTTGATGACGTATTCGTGGAAGGATGGGAGTTTTAGTTTGCTGAGGAATTCGTGGAAGGTTGGGAGTTGTAGTTTACTGAAGAATTCGTGGAAGGATGGGAGTTGTAGTTTGCTGAAGTGTTCATGGAATTATGGGAGTACTCATGGAAGGATGGGAGTTGTAGTTTGCTGAAGTATTTATGGAATTATGGGAGTACTCATGGAAGGATGGGAGTTATAGTTTGCTGAGTCATTCGTGGAATTATGGGAGTTGTAGTTTGCTGAAGTGTTCAATGAAGGATGGGAGTTGTCGTTTGATGGAAGGATGGAAATTGTAGTTTGCGAAAGTGTTTGTGGAAGGGTGGGAGTTGTAGTTTGCTAAGGAATTCATGGAAGGGTGGGAGTTGTAGTTTGCTGAAGTGTTCATTTAAGGATGAGAGTTGTAGTTTGCTGAAGAATTCATGTAAGGATGGGAGTTGTCATTTGCTGAGGTATTCTTGGAAGGATGGGAGTTGTAATTTGCTGAAGAATTCGTGGATGGGAGTTGGAGTTTGCTGAAGTACTCATGGAGGGATGGGAGTTGTAGTTTGCTGAAGTACTCATGGAAAGACGGGAGTTGTAGCTTGCTGAGGTGTGCATAGAAGGATGGGAGTTGTAGTTTGCTGAGGAATTCGTGGAAGGTTGGGTGTAGTTTGGTGAGGTGTTTGTGGTAGGATGAGAGTTGTAGTTTGTTTAGGTATTCATGGAAAGATGAGAGCTGTAGTTTGCTTAAGTGTTCATGGCAGGTTAGGAGACTCCACAAACTTTAAAAGGTCCCAGTTCCGAACTCTGTTGAAAAGGCAGATTACAGATGTATCTTTCCTAAGCTGATGGCCGTCTGCCAGGAGTGCTTTGGTTGTGTATTGCACTACAAGGGGTGGAACTGGATGTCCTTTGGAAGTCTCTTCTAACTCCATGATTTGGAGCTCTTATGGGGTACCTCCTGTGCATTTGTTTAAATCACGGGGCTGAAATTCAATATATCATTACATTCCGCTTGGGTCCAAATACACTTTATGGTCAATATTTTGCCGCTGCTGTTGTTGTTGTCGTTGCCGCTTCGCTTTCCTTAAAAGCACCCAGAACAGCGTATAGAAGGAATCGATACAAATATGACGAAAAGCATCACAACACGAATCCTTGCAAAGAATGGAGAGTGGCGTTTTTAAGTAAGGGAAAGCAGCAACCACGTCACTCATTCGCCCACCTTGACACGGCCATGTATTTCCCTCCACGTAACCTACTCTGCAGGGTTGTTGTTTGGAGAAAATGCATTTAAAAATATGTATGATGCCTTTGAGGCCTGCATTCAAGGAACATGAAAGGCACTGCAGACTACTTCAACCAGAGAAGTCAGCCATAGCAGAGCACCTGATGAACCAGCCTGGACACAGCAGATTATTTGAGAACACAGAAATGCTGGACCACTCTCACAACCACCATGTCAGGCTTCACAGAGAAGCCACTGAAATCCACAAACACATGGACAATTTCAACAGAAAGGAGGAAACCATGAAAATGAACAAAATCTGGCTCCCAGTATTAAAAAAACTCTAAAATTAGAACAGCACAACAACAGAGAGGAAACAAACAAGGACATCTAATCACCTCTGAACAAAAGATTGCTCCAGGCACTGCCAGGCCATCAAATGCTAATCAAGGTGGTCAGTTGAAACATTCACACCTAGCTCTAGCAGAAAAGAGTTCTTTGTCCAACCTTGGTCATTCCACAGATATATAAACCCATTTTCCTAGTTCCAACAGACCTCACTACCTCTGAGGATGCTTGCCATAGATGCAGGCGAAACGTCAGGAGAAAATGCCTCTAGAACATGGCCAAATAGCGCGAAAAAAACCTACAACAACCTATAACTCCCACTGTTCCATAGCATTGAGGCAAAGCTGTTACAGGGGTCTCATACTGCATCCATTCTACAGTGTCAACACACCATTACTACTACTACTACTACTACTATCATCCTACTTTCCTCCCCCAAAAGGAGACTGTTACTTATATTACTATTAATAATATAATAATAATAATAGTCCCTCCAGTAAAATTAGACTTTAAATCATACTGTAATTATTATTATATCCTGCTTTCCCCCTTCAAAGGAAACTACATTATTATTATTATATTACTATATTATTACATAATAATATAGTAATATAATAATATAGTAATTGATACTAGTACCAATAACAACATAAATATTACTATATTATTACTTTAGGGCACAACTATTCACAGAAGCACCCCAGTGAAAATTAAAACATAAATACATTATTACTTACTTACTTACTTAGGCAATCCCTCATTGCATGAGTAAGATATTTATTTCTCATGTCAGGGCAGCCAGTCCATTATATTACATTTCTAACAGAGCAAAGCAAACAAACAGACAAAATACAAAATTTGTGAGTTTGGTAGTTGATTAAATGTCCTTTGACCAGTATCTGGCCACTTGGAGTGCCTCTGGTGTTGCTGCAAGGAGGTCCTCCCTTGTGCATGTGGCAGGGCTCAGGTTGCATTGCAGCAGGTGGTCAGTGGTTTGCTCCTCTCCACACTCGCATGTTGAGGATTCCACTTTGTAGCCCCATTTCTGAAGGTTGGCTCTGCATCTCGTGGTGCCGGAGCGCAGTCTGTTCAGCGCCTTCCAAGTCGCCCAGTCCTCTGTGTGCCCGGGGGGGGGGGGGTCTCTCATCTGGTATCAGCCATTGATTGAGGTTCTGGATTTGAGCCTGCCACTTTTGGACTCTCGCTTGCTGAGGTATTCCAGCGAGTGTCTCTGTAGATCTTAGAAAACTATTTCTAGATTTGAGTCGTTGACGTGCTGACTGATACCCAAACGGGATGAGCTGGATATGTCTCTGCCTTGGTCCTTTCACTATTGGCTGCTACTTCCAAAGTGACCAAAGCAGAAGAGAGTGGGATTATAACTTCCCTTGATCTAGTCACTATCTCATGTGTGTGTGTGTGTGTGTATATATATATATATATATATATATATACACACACACACACACACACACACACATATACATATACACATATACATATGCACACACACACACACACACACATATATATGCTGTCTCCTGCCACACGTTGCTGTGGCCCAGTCTGTGTACATATGTTTTTTGTGTGTATATATTTGTGTATATATGTATATATGTGTGTTTGTGTATATATACATGGTTTTGCACATGTGTTGTAATGTATTTTTTTTATTTTGGGGGTTTTTAAGTTTCTTCTGCTGTTTTTCAGTGTTTTTATGAGTGATGGTCACTCGTTGGCCAGAGAGGTGTATTGTGTCAAAGTTTGGTGTCAATTCGTCCAGTGGTTTTTGAGTTATGTTAATCCCACAAACAAACATTACATTTCTATTTATATAGATGCTAGCTATCCCCTGCCAGGTGTTGCTGTGGCTTAATGTCAGGGGAAAACTTTTACCAATTCACAATATATAATGTAATACAATATAATACTAATAATATGATATAATTATATATTTTATATTACATGTAATATTACTAATAATATTACAATATAAAGGTATAGTACAATATAGTAATATATAATACTGATATTGTGCTATTCTAATAATATATATTGTATGTATATATATCTTGTAAGCCACTCTGAGT